TTAGATGTGTGAACTTGGACAAGATCTTTAGGCTCTCTGAATCTTACTCTTCTCATCTGTAAAATGGGGATGATAACTTACCTTATAAGACTATTTTGACATTAATTAAATCATGCAGGGCACGTGTTATTAGTTGAGGTCACGTGGCGTTTAAAGCCCTTTGCTGATACATTGTATGGAAGGGCTTGGCACTGGATCCTGCACAAGGTAAGCCCTTGACTCGAAGTTCCCTCCCCTTCTAGTCTACCTTTCCCCAACATCTTCCTCCTCCCTGCATCTCCTGCCATATCCTACTCCCAAATGCCCCCAAACTGCACTAAAGAATTCGCTCTGAACCTTCCCTAAGCTACTTCCACCTCTGGGTAAAGGATTAACCTAACCTTGTCCCAAGTCACATGGGAAGCGGAGCTTGGGTTATACCCCCCATCTCCGTTCCCCTGGAAACCTGGTAAGTGCATGTGGCCTCCTCCGTTAGTGTCCACCCTGCTTTCTGGGGCCTCCTGGGCTCCCACTGACCAGGGAAGTCCTGGGATTCCTCGGATCTGCTCCCCTCCAGGATGGACATCCGTAGGTGCCCGTGGGTGCTCTAGTCTCAGTCCTCCCTTATCCCACCTTGTGGGCACTGCCCCTCCCCACAAAATTGAGCAGGACTCAGGGTGTGCATAAGCCCCAGCCAGTGTCAAGGGCCGCAAAGCCGTGTATCCAAAGCTAAAGCGTGAGGAGCAACTACCGGGAAGAACCAACAACAGCTGAGATGAGGCAGCATCTCTGAAATAACCATAAAAAATCAGTTTTAAAAAATGGGCTCCCTTTACACAAACTCTATGGGGTAAAGCAGAGAGCCATTGGGAGCCTGGAGGGAGCCAGTGTGAGCTCCAAGGGGTAGACAGATGATTTCCTCCCAATCCTAGTGACAAATAGGCAACTGCATTCTCCCTCCTCCCTTTCAGAGACAAGTGTACTACCACAAGTGTACAAGTGAATACATGTGACTCAGAAGGGACCCCTGGCTCAAGAGAAGGAGCAGAGGGC